ACATATGTTCCCATATCTCTTCCCTCTTGCGTCTCCCTCCCTCCCACCCTCCCTACCCCACCCCTCTAGGTGGTCACGAAGCACCGAGCTGATCTCCCTGTGCTATGCGGGTGCTTCCCCCTAGCTATCTATTTTACATTTGGTAGTGTATATATGTCCATGCCACTCTCTCACTTTGTCACAGTTTACCCTTCCCCCTCTCCATATCCTCAAGTCCATTCTCTAGTAGGTCTGTGTCTTTATTCCCGTCTTACCCCTAGGTTCTTCATGACCTTTTTAAAATTTTTTTTAGATTCCATATATATGTGTTAGCATACGGTATTTGTTTTTCTCTTTCTGACTTACTTCACTCTGTATGACAGACTCTAGGTCCATCCACCTCGCTACAAATAACTCAATTTCGTTTCTTTTTATGGCTGAGTACTATTCCATTGTATGTATGTGCCACATCTTCTTTATCCATTCATCCGATGATGGACACTTAGGTTGCTTTCATCTCCTGGCTATTGTAAATAGAGCTGCAATGAACATTTTGGTACATGACTCTTTTTGAATTATGGTTTTCTCAGGGTACATGCCCAGTAGTGGGATTGCTGGGTCATATGGTAGTTCTATTTGTAGTTTTTTAAGAAACCTCCATACTGTTCTCCATAGTGGCTGAATCAATTTACATTCCCACCAGCAGTGCAAGAGGGTTCCCTTTTCTCCACACCCTCTCCAGCATTTATTGTTTCTAGATTTTTTGATGATGGCCATTCTGACCGGTGTGAGATGATATCTCATTGTAGTTTTCATTTGCATTTCTCTAAAGATTAATGATGTTGAGCATTCTTTCATGTGTTTGTTGGCAATCTGTATATCTTCTTTGGAGAAATGTCTTCTGCCCATTTTTGGATTGGGTTGTTTGTTTTTTTGTTATTGAGCTGCAGGAGCTGCTTGTAAATTTTGGAGATTAATCCTTTGTCAGTTGCTTCATTTGCAAATACTTTCTCCCATTCTGAGGGTTGTCTTTTGGTCTTGTTTATGGTTTCCTTTGCTGTGCAAAAGCTTTTAAGTTTCATTAGGTCCCAACAGCACATTAAAAGGATCATACACCATGATCAAGTGGGGTTTATTCCAGGAATGCAAGGATTCTTCAATACACACAAATCAATCAACGTGATGCACCATATCCCTCTGATCTTGTTTCGTCCTGTCTTCTCTTGAAATTTTCCTCTTCCCTAGTTCTTCACTCTTTCATGCATGTTTTCTCAGTCTCCTATTTCACGTTCTCATCGATTGTCTCTTGACTGTGAGAATATCGACACAGTAGCTCCCAAACAGACCATTGGCTTCAAGATGTATCTCTTTTTCAAAGTCCTAAGTAATTTGTATCATCCACATGCTTCTCGCTTGCTGCCCCTTCTCCCTGATGCTCCTAGAAGGCTTGAAATAAGAGAGAGGAGAAGGTTCCAAGAGGGGCCAGTCTAGTCCCCACCCCCCTGCTCTGTTCCTGATAACCTAGATGGTCATCATCCCAGACTAGTGGGGTACACCTGCAGGCACTCTGTGAGTCAGCAGCATTCCCTCCACCCGTGTGGAATGTAGGAACCAGGACAGCTCAGTTAGCCAGACCAAGAGCTTGTTGTCATGGCAACTGCCTCCTGGGCTGCTGGGGCAGTTTCCACTTCCATGGAGAGCCTTTTCATTTCCTGGTAAGACGGGGCTGGCCGTATCTCAGTGCCCTCGCTCCAAGACTCTGATGTGTGAGCCCCATAGTGGGAGAACTGCGTTCCCTGGGGACCCACAGGACCCTCCCAGGCTGAAGTAGCAGGGACAGGAACAAGGGTAGCCTGTTCCACTGTGCACTGCTCCCCTGTGGAGTCCAGAACCTGCTCTGCCTTTGTCTCCAGGGTCTTGCTTTGTTGTTCTCTACCTCTTGCTCCCACAGTTGGAGGTGCCCCAGCCTCCTTTCTCCTCCTCTTCTCTGTGGCAAGTGCCTCAGGACAAAAAAAAAAACCCCACAGTCTGAATAGAGCAGGCTGTGCCCCTCCTCTAATGTGTTTGGTCTCTTCCGTCTGAAGACAAATATCTTTGCATACTTTTCACACTTTACTAACAGAGAATGCTGACTACTGATATGATATTCTTCTGTTGTGAAAGTGGGTGTCTTTAATTAATTTTAATGATGGATTCTCAAAGGTACATCAGCAAAACAGTCTGGTGAAAATGGGGAGGCTGCATATGACCTACCAGGTAAAGTATTCTCTGAAAGCTCTCAGACTTTCTTACTGTATGATAAAGTTTCTGGGAATGTTCCATGCCCCAGCCTGAAGTACACCCACACACAAAAAAGCCCTTAGAGATGGAGGGGGGAGGGCGGGCGGTGAGTTTACAATGTGGGATCCAAGCTTCTTTATTTCCCCCTGTGGGCATAATAATGCATACAAACTTTTAGAACCTCCAGTATTTGTAAAACCTGGATTCTGGGTTTAAGTTTTCTTGCTGTTATAGACAAAGCCACCAAAAGCATTTAAAAAATCAGAACTTTTGACTGCAGTGAAAGATCGTGCCAATTCCTTATGAGGTCTTGGCTCCTGAGTTGTGGTTCCTTTTGCCGTGGATATACGCTTCTTTTCTTCATCACTGGGAGCATGATCAGATTTCCCATGCCCATATTAATGTCTTATAATAATAAACCAACGAGGATAAAATGGAGAGATCATATGACTGTAAAGGTTGGTGTTTCTCATTCATAGGAATAGCATTTTCCCCTTTTTCTGAACTTTAATGTATATAGATGATTAAACATCATGGTTACATCAATTGTAAAAATGTACCTTGTAAAACCAAATTGGGATAAACTACTACAAAATTCCTGGGACAGTTACCATTATTCAGGATACCCTGGTATCCTGAATAAGAGGTTTTTCAAAGATGGCAGAATCTGATTATCATTCTTCTGCTATTTACATTAGCCATTCTAGGCCATTTTTCATTTAAATATGAAAAACACCCAGCCATGTAGTCTGAGTCCAGACCAAAGTCACATTCCCTCCAAATGATATAATTTTGAGTAAAATACTAATTTGGAGTTGACCGTTTAACAGAATGATTTCTTTCACTAACTACCATTCTTCCTCTTGTCTTTTCTTCCTTTTTTATTTTTTTCTTAATGGATTTAAGCTGACAACTGGATAGTTGCAAACACAGAGCTGATCGAGAAGACCAAGTTCACCATCACAGGTCTGCCAACGGATGCAAGGATCTTTGTGCGCGTGAAAGCTGTGAACGCTGCTGGTGCCAGCGATCCCAAGTACTACTCTCAGCCCATCCTTGTGAAAGAAATCGTAGGTAGGTGGCAAGGCTTTCAAAATTTTGTCTCCATTTCACATTTGTTTTAAACCTCTTTCTTTCTCAAACCCTCCTATTTTGTTGTCACTCCTTTGATAGTTTATTAATATCCCCTGGGAGTTAGAAATGAACAAAACTGCCCTTTATAGGCAGCGTGGGAGGTCAGCTCCCAGTTTATAACTTGGTATGAGGACCAGATAACTACACCAGGTTCCATGAGCCAATAGGCAGCTGGGCTGCCTAGTCACAAGGGGTGGGGGGCAGCGGCG